ACCTCCCCATTCTCTCCCTCCCTCCTCTCGACACAGTTTCCCAACAGTATCCTGACGATAAAAGTGGAAAATATGCAGAAAACAGGCCAGCGGTTGGTAGGGTAGGGAGGGGGTCGTACCGGAGGAAGAAATTTCGGGGGAGGAAGAAATTTCGGGGGTTATCTGACCCCGCCACTTCTCCATTTCGATGCTGTATCCTGTGTTCTGCGCAAGACAGATGACCTCATTCCGATGCTGTACCCTGGTCCGGCGCATGACAGATGACTTGTCTACATCCCACGAAGAACGTATCCTGTGCCTTGTTCAGGTGCAGTAAGCAGCCCCACCCTCCCCATATCTGATGGTAAGGAATGTAGATTGAGTCATTCATATCTATACACACCTGTAAGCAGCTGCAGTCATGTTGATGTTATGCTGATATCAGCACCGCCTTTAGACTAACAGGTAACGGTGGGTGTCTCATTCAGCTTGCTAACGAACCACCATCGAGTCAACATGAGTTGGCTCCCACTTCATCTTTACAAATGGAGAATGAAGCTCGTGAGTGCCACATGGTTACTCTGTCATCATCATAAATGCAACTGACTATTCCGTTACAGGCTGCCAAGAGCGATTCTCTCCTGAGAAGTCGTAAGAGTGCAGAAACGGCCAATGGTGCGAATGAGGATCAATGCATCTCGTAAGTGGTAGAGGTTGCTTCCAAATGGGTTCACTGTTGCGAAACGCATCCCCGTATTGGAAAGAGTGGATTTGAGGTGCAATAGCCGCCCACCATCAAAGAAGCACGTAGCCACGCCCACCACATCTCAGGATACGGGGTATATAAGAAGGACGTCACATCCGCCACTGTTCGACGACTGCTCTTCTGTGCCGCTTTTCCAGGCTTTCTTGACATTCGTGTTCTCGGAAGAATGTCCGACCGGTTGCTTTAACTTCTACCTTTCTCTAGAGCGCCTTGAAAAGATATCCTATCTTCATCAAAAGTCGGTTGAAGATTAACTGTACAGCAGATAACGTCGCAATCAGTAGGAGCAACTTTGAGAGGGATGGAGTGAGCCTCTCTAAATCGATCACTAACCCATCCTCATTGACAGAACTAGGCACCCGAAGGCTTCCACCCCTAATACCACTGCCTCAACTCCAGAAACTTTCCTGGACTGGAATGAGGTGAATGGGTCCGCAGCTACAGTGGCGTGTCACTATTCCGTCAGAAGTACCTGGGAACGGGGAGGGTCAAACGAAGAGAACAACCAGGTAGGGTGCAGGCAAGTAGCGCGAGCAGTGTATAGAGAGATTCCCAATTATCACTAACGCTCCGGCCCCGTCACGTTCTGAGCGGAGAAAGTGGCTCGCTACTGTAGCTGCGGATCCGTTCGCCTCACACCTGGCAAGGACTAGAATCCACGGAGGTTAGCATACAATTTTTCTCATAACTTGTCTTTTTGTGAGCCCTTCCCTCCAGGATATAATACACAGGTTGGTGACGGTGGAGAGGTGCATATGTACCTCTTGAGCAAGAAACCCACAACTTCAGGGCAAAGATATAGTTTGGGGAATGCAAGTTTCAGCGAGGCGTGACCGCGCTTCTGCTTATCTGCACCCTCCCAACGATGCAGTGGCCTCCCTCCCCCACGTAGAAGAGTGGCAGTCTCGCTGTCAACTGGAATCCCTTCAACTAGCGGATTGATTGCTGCGGATGTGGGCGTGCCAATGAGGGGGGGGGGGGAGGGAGGGTTGGACTTGTTGCGAGGCTAACCCGTTTTCCACCAATCGTTGTCGCTCGCCCGCTTCAACAGTTTATGCTGGATTGGCTAACGCCACGTCAGACCCACTAACGCCACGTCAGACCCAATCTCCCTGACACGCGTCCACATGTGCAGAGAACGAGGCTGCACCTTTCACCAACCTCCCCCGAAAAGGCTTCATTCAACCGAGCCCCACTCTCAGCCTCACATTTAACTCTCTGGCCTTTCCAAAGCAGTGAAGTATACCCACTCTGAAGGATGTCGTCCCTGAGAACTGGACTTTTGCGTCGGCACCTCTCCGAGAGGTTTCCTCGAGAAAACTAGACTAAGTTGACCCTGCGATTTCAGGTTCAGACTTGGGGAGCGCGCACCACCATCAAACATGGTGCGCACCAGCAACTACACCTATCTCAACTTCTTGCCGAAATTCCTTTTCGCCCAATTCAAACAAGTGGCCAATTTGTTCTTTCTGGTATTGTCAGTCATACAGGTAAATGTACTAGACGTTTCAACTCTATATTCCTCGATGAAAGTGATCCTAAAAAGGTGCCGAATTAAGACACTGCCAGGGCTGGCACCCTTCGGTCGACAGGCAACAATCATGCCACTCACTTTCATCATCGGGACTTCAGCCGTTCGCGAATTTTATGAGGATATGGTCAGTTCTAAAAGTGGTTGACAATCATGCGAGGTGTCGCTAATATTACAGTAGTGATAGATATCCCTTCATATTCTTTTTCAGCGCAGGCGTGTTCGAGATCGTAAGATGAACTACCAGAAGTGTTATGCGCACACTGATGAGGGATGGAGGATGATTCCATGGTGTGAAGTGCGTCAAAAACGATTTTCTTATTGTCACAGTAACTAGGTAAAGTTCTCCCACTCAAAAATAGCCGCTTGGACATAACTCATTTTTTGAAGGTTTCAGAAGATTTCTAGCCCTGGGTCCACAGACTCATGCTGGCCTTACACTTGAGGAGGGGAGATGCGCTGCTCCAGGCTCTGCTCCAAAGTAATTTATTTTCTTTCAGCTTCACGTCGGTCAAATGATCCGAGCTGTGAATGGCGAGCAGTTAGCGGCTGATTGTCTCATTCTTGCAACATCTGAACCAGGTTCTGTCGCCTATGTTGAGACAGCGAATCTTGATGGAGAAAGCAACCTCAAGGTGAGGACTTTTCAGCACCATCAGCACCAATCGGACTCCCAGACTTATGCACTCAGTCGATTGCATCAAGGGCGGCGTCCACACTGCTCGCACTTGCGTAGTCAGGCCTACCGTTGCACCTTTCTCTGAGGCACGTCCCTCCCGTCCACCACCTCTTGGTCAGGAGCTAACTATGGCAAGCTCCGCCCATGGGAGCAGCGTGGAAAGTACCTCTGAAAAGACAAAGACAGAGGAAGAGTATCTGCCACATGTCACAGTCTCTCGCCCTCGTACTTTTAATTCACTTTGCAATTGAGAAACTGAAGGGATGAGAGGTTTTGATGAAATTCACACCAAAACTCGGAGTCTATAATGCCTAGCAGACTGACCACTGGGATCAGAAAACGGATTACCATTCCAGCAGAACATGTAACTGAGACAGCAGTCACGCTCAGCCTTACCTATCTCCTCGAAACAGGATCATCCTCATGGTATTATAATTTGAGCGGGACCACCCATGACAAATAATTTCTCAATCTTTCGGAGCTGGACTACTGGCATAGGAAGGTGTTTCTGAGGAATCAAACATAGACCTCAAAAAACCCGTGGACACCGCCCAGTCCCAAAATTTATTGAGCATGCCTACTGCACTTCGCATTGTTTTGCGTAACCGTGTAGAGGTGAACATTCACAGGGACGATCTCAAATACCCCTTTGACTTTCATCCTTTGAGAATGCAGATGTGATCAGGCTATGAGCTATCCATTCTTATCATTTTACGCACCTAATCTTGATGTCAATTCAGGTCAGACAAGCGGCTCCGACACGACTCTCCAACAACGAAAGCAGCATGAACGTCAGTTTTCTCGAAGTAGTCATGTTTGCAGGGTCTAAAATCAGACTGTACGAGGTGAATGAGTCTGCATCGCAGTTGCGTGCTACTTCATTCGCTTCGGCTGCTCGGAAACTGGGCTGAAGAGCAATGTTACACGGTGCAGGCTCTGTATTGCCCGCGCTGTCCCCAAGACGCAATACTTGCGCAAATACGAAGGTCTCAAAGCGAAACACGCAGCAGAGAACAACCAGAAGAAAGGTGGTGCAGGCAACTAGCGTGCTTGCTTACGATTGGGCGTCCGGGGAATCACTACCATACAGCTTCACAGTTTCGAGCGGAGAAAGTGGCACCCCACTGCAACTGCGAACCCCTTCACCTCACACAGGATTTACGAAGTTGAGGGTAGAATTCGCCTTTGGAATGGGCGTAACCTAAGAGATAGGCTTGACTGTTTGGAGCAGCGCCTAAAGTAATACCGGTAGATCAAGGGACAGTAGAGATGGCCCTTCACACAACATTGCCTAATCGTTCCGAGAGAAATTCTGTCCAACAAGGACACTCATTGAGAGGTGGAGAATTACGGCCCATTTATCGCTCCGGATGGGATGTTCAATGGGAGGGGCTGGCGCCGCGCCAAAACAAAAGCTCTGCTGACACATCCCGACCGACTTCAGGGATCATAACTGTACAACCCCTCTCACACTTTCTTAGTCAACCTTCACTTCAGAAAAAAGTCCTCAAGCAGGTGTTTAGTGGAAAGCACTTACAGTCTTGTTCGCTGCGGATGCAGGACCGCTTCACAGAGACTGTGTTTGGTGCCACGCCAGCTTATCTTCCAGCTGTGGTGCTATGCCCGGCTCCACGTCAATCCAGCTCCACGAAGATGGTGGCGAATGGTCCAGCGGTGCGAAAACCCAGTTTTCAAGCCCTATTCACAGTGAACAAAACTGTAATGTATCAATAGCGACAACAACCAACAATTAGAAAGTTGCCTCGTTACGATGGTAGTCCCTGCGACTGACCGACTCACACCCGTGTTTATTAAATAGTTCGTAAATTCCGATCAACTTTGCTCTTACAGAAGTTTTGGCAAAGCGGTGTGGAGATTGTCTACGATGCTCCAAACGCAAAAATCTACGAATTTCAAGGCCGTATGTCCGGAAAATCACGTCTTCTGCAAGTATCAGCGGAGAGCTCAAGTTTCAGCTCCAACACAGGTATGAGGAACATTCCACGAAACTTCGGTGGAAGGTACAGGCGATCGGGTGACATTGTTGCGATAAATGGGCGTGTCGGAGAGGCTAGACCTTCCACGCCGCCAGCCCTTCTCCACCAGTTGTTGAAGCGGGCTAGACAACTGGTGAAACGACTGCTATCAACGATATGATACAGTCTTGTCGCTTGTCAAAAAACGGGCTTGGGTCGCGGCAAAACCAAATCCCCTCGACACGCCCTACCATCAGCAGCGAACAAGGATATACATAGGTACACAGTCCGGCAGAACAAAGCCGTTTCCTCATGCAAAGCCCACCTACACCAACGCACCTCTTAACACAAACCTTCTGGACTGTGGAGCTCTGCTGCCCTTCTGCCAAAAAACGATCCCCAAAAACACTTTAAGTGGGACTTTTGAAAAGCATTATTTCAATAGTTGAACTTATGAGCGGAACGCACATACAGTCTAGTTCGCTGCAGACGAAGGGGCCTGTCAGGCGGGATAGATTGGCGCGGTACCAAACCCGTTCTCCACCAGTTATTGAAGCGAAAAAGTGACAATTCTTTATCGTTTCATCATTCGTATCACTCGTTTTCTATCAGTTGTCGCATACCCGCTTCAACAACTGGCAGAGAACGGGTTTGGCGCCGTGGCACACTCATACTGCCTGACACGCCCCTCATCTGCAGCGAACTAGAGTAGAAACATTCCCGCAATACGACCCCATACCATTTTTTCATTTCTCGAATTATATCTAACCAGTGTGACATTGATCGTATTGCAATAGTGATAATTCGTGTTCAAGGAGACATGCGGCAGCCTAAACAAATGAATGCAACACCTACGATTCCGCTAAGTAAGTTCAGTAGTTAGTGTTAGTGAAGCCCACGCTGATCACATGGGCGGAGATAGCCAGCCATAAGTGTTGTCATTGACGCACCCTTCCTCTTAGAACGGTGAAGGGGAGGAGCACATTAATGAGTTATGCAGTCGGTATGGAATAGTTGAATGTCTCTGTCAATACGATCGGAGTGGACTGTACCTTCCGGCAAGGCTGCGTCCACACTTTGCATCAGCGTTCACCTAGCGACCAGCAGCGTCCACCAGCAACGGCTAAGGTTCCGAGCGTCCGGCAGCGTCCAGGAGAGAGCATGGGGCGATAGAAGGGTAGCAGACAGCTGATAGAGTTTAGTTAGATGGGGTGGGGGGGGAATAGCAGACGGTGATAGAGAGTATGGGGCGACACGAGCGTACTCATACACCTCACTGCTGGGGACGCTGCTGGTCGTTGGTGGACGCTGGTAGACGCTGCTGGTAGCTATATCGATACCTAAACTTCCCAAACGCTGCCGGACGCCAGGAACGTCAGTGGTTGCTGATGCTGCCGCAAAGTATGAACACAGCCTAAGCTTCCATTCCCAAAGTTACAATAAACAAATAGCGGCCAATTCAGCGAACGCTCATGTTATTTTGAGAGGAGCCCGGTTGAAGAACACGGACAACATCTACGGTATCGTGCTCTACACAGGACCGGACACTAAACTCTTCAAAAGCAGTA